AGAGAGAGAGAGAGAGAGAGAGAGAGAGAGAGAAATCGATCTTGCGTGTTACCGACTCAACCAGTGACAAGGAGACAAAATCCTTATCCCACCACTTCAAAATAACAATACATAAAGCAATGAATGGTCTCTTAGTAAAATAAATCTCAAAACCTTAGACCCGTGAAGCACACGCATGCACGCATACGCAAGCACACACACACACACTCACACAGCGCAGTCATGTTTTCGTTTTGTTTTATTAAACCCCCCCCCCCCCCCCCTTCCTCCCCCGATTAAAAGAGTAAACAACAACAAATACAACACACACACACTCACAGCGCAGGCTCTACGTTTTCGTTTTATTAAACCGCATTTATTTTATCTCCCCTCTTGAGCCGAGCGCCGGGCAGCCCCCCAAAAGTGGGGCAAAGAAGACTGTTTGTATTTACATGATTACATGGCCTTCACCTTTGGCTCGCTCTGAGCGCAGCTGAGGAAGACACGAGACCGCTAAAAGCACATTGTTGGACACACACCCACGACCGCTGTACACACAATAATACACATGATATGTATATGTATCATGTAGACGACACAGCACTTTTGGCCCAAATCCAATCTCCTAATCATGGGAAAGATGTTCTTGTTTATGCTCTTGAGCCATCGGCTTTGACAAATGACTGGCTATTTAAGTCACCTGTTGATAAACTACTCTATTTACGCCGACTCGGCACGATAGTGGCCTCATTTCACGAGGAAGCACACTAGTAAAGAGACCAAAAGAACCGGTATTTATCAGTAAATTTGACAAGAAACCAAAACGAGCAGACTACATTCTTATTTCTAGCACTCGCAAATCCCCCAAGGACCTTACAACAAACTGTATAACCTCCTTGAAATCACACAATCGTCGGTGCCCGACTGTAATTAACCGTGTGTCTACCAAATTGGGACAAACACTTTTTGGGGGGTCTAAAATTATGTTATGTTCAACCGTAATAAATAACATTTGACAAGGCACTGTGCAGGGGGAAGAGGCATAATATAGTAGAAGAGATTGGAGGATAACATCTGAGAATGGACAGTCACGGAAGTGCGGGACACACTGAGGAAAACAGAGAGCCGAGAGGAGTGAAGGAGAACTATTGTCATCTGTCAGAGGCCACCCAACGGGTGACAATCTACATGAGCAGAAGAGAGAGACCACAATTTGGTCATACCATCATAGAGATAAAAACTTACTGAGGACCATATGGACAGGCAAGGTCACCAACGAGGCAGTGTTAAAGTGAACAAGACAGAGCTCAGACAGAGATGAAGTGGGGAGAAGGCCGTGGCGATGCATGGGACAAACTATCAAGAAGTCTTGACAGTCGCATTACAATGAAAGTGTTGGATTGGAACCAACAGGGTAAAAGATCAAGGGGAATACAATGTGGAACTTGGAGCAGAGTCACAGAAATTGAATATAGATAAGTCTTAAAGTGGGAAGACATGGAATAACAACAAGAGGCCAGCCCAGGATAGGTGGAAAGTATTTGTTCGTGGCCTATACACTGACCCATGGTGAGAAAGGTGAAAGGCAGTGATGATGATGAGTAAAACGAACATCCAGTGCAACAAAAAAATTTCAATTGACCAATTATGGAGGATATTAACAAAAAATTACATTTCTTACCCCCCCCCCCCCCCACACACACACACAAAAAAACACCATCTATAAAATAAAATTAAAAAACAACTAAAAAGTGTTTGCTAATTTGGTGATTGCATAGAAAGTCAGACATCGATACCATGCAATAATCTGTAACATCAATGACTCAAATGCATATTATATTATGGTGTAAACTCATCATGTGTCTTTTAGAAACAGATGACACACAGTGTCAGCACAACCATAATTAACCTGTTTTCAACCTCTATACACAGTTTGAAATGCTGGAAATGTTCACAAGTTCAACTTGCCAAAAATGTTATCTGTAGGGGGGTAACAATTTTGTCCTTCATAAACTGAATAAATTAACCAAAATCAGACTGACTTTTCTATGTTACATGAAATCTGTCTAAAAGAATGCAATAACATGAAAAAAAATCAGACAATAAAAATTCTCAATAACAAAAGTATCACTTCATCTAATCTCAAGAACTCAACGAAGCCCTAACAGAGATACTAGTGCTCAAATCACACACAAGCAGTCATGACAACTTTTCACTGTCCCCGTAACTCACCAAATGAGACTTTAAAAAACCACACATTCTATAGAGAGAAAAATATACATGGAAAACAAGGTCCCTCTTTCCCAAATATTTTATATTTGCAGTGGACCACCAGCTTTTTCTTCCATGTGGCTGGGATTTCAGTTTAACAGGCATTTTCATTTTCTTCGATTTCATTCTCCAGAATTTTTCAAAATGTTTCTTTTCTCTATTCAACAAAAATTAAAGGGAATATTATTTTATAGCTGCCAGCAGTACAAGGAATTCGCATTTAAATTTTATACAACCCCCAGTAATGATATTCAACACTCAAGCAAAATCTAAATTTCCAATAAAGTCAGAGGGGGAGCATTCTACAAGTGAACGGGAAAAACAGGGCTACAACAAGGCCATTGCTGTTAAAACCTTGCAGTAATATCATCTAATCTGATCTAATACCTTGTTTCTTTGCAGAAATAATTAGAAATTTCTCGAATATCTACTCCACCTAAAGACACACGGGAAAGCAGTGTTTCACAAACCCTCAGAGAGAGGAAAGAATTTGAGGGGAGTGTCACTCACATTGGGGGGAAAGAGTCGTTGATGACACACAGGTGGGCCAAAAGGGAAAGTTTTATTATTACTGCCTCTTCATGGTGAACCTCATTAGCATGTGAGACACTCCCAGGCTCTTATCCTAGCTAATTTATTCAAAAATTCATTCAAATACCTGGGCTGGAACAATTGTTGAAATCTTCTGGTGCTTATTCTTGGTAGACGAACGGAAGATCATTGTCCGACTCTAAACATGTATGTGTGCATGAACACTTATTTTCAGAAAAGTAGAAAAAAAGTAATCGGTTTTATATTATCAACCAGAATATTGCAATTTAGTTGAGAGTGGTTTTTGTAAATATTATAGTACCACCAACTGTAATCATTTTACGATTGTGAATTAAAAAATAAATCGAAACCAAAAAAAAAGGGTTTGGCCTGCAGCTTATCTTGATACACACACTCTGATACTGATGACAGCAAAACAAACTTCTCTTGTACAAACGACCACTAGCTATTTCCCCTTTGCTCAGTTTTTAAAAATTTATAATATTCTGTTAAAGACATTCACCAGTCTAAGATTATATAACCACTTTTCTCCTCGACAAAGGGTGGCTGTCTTGGACGATTTCGACTGAATACAAAGCAAGCCAGCCCAACTCAAAATCTTGACAGAACAAAGTAGTGCAAATATTAGGAAACACGATGTAGAAGAGCAGAGAAAAAAAGTGGGTGAATTAACTTAGGCCTCTTCTTCCTCAGCCTGACCGACCACAATCCATGGCGAATTCTACCAAAGACCTTCACAAGGTAATTTTATGCATTTCTGTACTGTCATTCCTACACCCTGAGGGGGCATGTTACTACTTTCAAGAAATCAGGAGGACCATGCTAAAAAAATTGGGTGAATTTGTTCGGCCTTGGTGATGAGCAATAGAATTTTAATTTGAATACAAAGACAAAAAAAAGCATCCTCCCCAATGCAAGCAGCCGATGGTGGCAACCAAAACAGCAACCGTTTTCAGGTCACCAGTGCAACCCGCAACAAGCAAAGCGGTATATTTTTATCAATATATTATATAGGCCTACATTATTATAGCAGCTTAACAAATATTTAATGATTTCAAACACTATTCTATTGAATACTACAGCTTTCCAAGTAACAAATTAAAACCATAACAATTCAAAAAAGAAGAAAAGTGGTTGGAGGGGCAGGATTAGCAAACCTAAAAGAGGAAAGCAGTTAAAGAAAGGAATTGTCTCCGACAAAAGTCACCTCTCTGTCACAGTCATCCACTAGCTAGAAGGAAAAGAGGCTTCTCCCCAAAAAAGTGTACTTCTGTATTGTACAATGACAAAAATACTCACCGGTCAGTCTCCGCAGCCTCCATCTTGGCCCGTTTTGCTCGTTTGATACCAGATTCGTCCATCAAGGACTGATTACTCTCCTCTCCTTCCATGGCCACTTTACTCCAGCAAAGTTGTCTCCAAGAAGAGATGTCGGGGAGATCTTCTCCTAACTGGTGCTGAAGGATTACAATAAGGGTAGAATGTAGGACCGTGCACGGGGTACACTAACCAAGAACCCGCAGATCCCAAGGGCGTGATGGAAATACTCCCTTTACGACGGGAGACAAACACACTTTACGCAATGCAAAAAACACCTTAGAAAGTTGAACCAAGTAGCATTTCGCTCTATGGCCATTTTCTCAACGGCCTCACTGGCCCCTTAAAAAAAATCACAAATTTCAGTACTTGCTACACTTTTCTTTCAGTCACATAAAAAAATGATACTTCTAAGTCCATCCACACTAGCGTTGAAACAAGGAGACCAAACCTGGTTTGCACAAAAAGCTATCCAATTGTCAATAATAAACAATCATTTACTAAGAATTTCACTGTGTTTTCATTTGATACACACAAAATTCTCCAAGCACAGAATCGGAAACCGTACTTATCCCTAGAGTATTACAATGGCCTATAGAGGTCTTCTATTCTTAGTCCTAGCAACTAGCAGGAACCAAGGTCTCAGGGATCTGTTAACCCTAACAAGCAATTACTCCAAAAATAATATTGTATGTAACAACAGAAAGAAAAAACTTCACAGGAACAAAATGTAATGTTAGTTGGGGAATATTTCTCCGTTTAAACACAGTCATGAACAGCACTTTTGCATTATATAATATCCTTAGCACACAGCGTCCTTTGACAGAAGGTGGGTAGGAACTGTATTCACACAACAATTCCCTTTATTCCTCAGAATTCTCAGGCTCAAGTGATATGTCCAAGAAAATAACTTTTCGATATCATCATCAACACGATTTCATGTGTGTCCCTTCATTCATAAATCAATCACCTTGGATTTTTCTGTCATTACGTGGGGGGCCTAGTTCAGCGAGTTGTCAGATCTGGAGACAGAAAGTACACACATGGGTAATAATAAAAGTACACAATACATTGATGTAAAAAGATTGCCATGAAGCCTCTTCTTGAGAGAATTAATTTAATGAAAACAACCGAGTCTTTTAAAAGTTACATGTTGACTTACCTAGCTATCACACATACCTATCTTGAGGAAGAAACTTAAACAATGATGTAGGCTATTTATAAAATCAATAATCATTATCTCAAATTGTGATGCACGTGACTGACATAGAGGCTACCGGACTACCAGAATTATGAACTGGCA